GGAAAGATACACCGCCATGATATTTATCCTTTGTGCATGTCCACAGACCACCAGAGCGAGGCCCATAAAAACAACTATTTCGCCAAAACGGACATTTTTTATTTTTTGAACAAAATTGAAACTCCATTTTTTTTCACATCTGCCGTGGTTTACGAATAATTTGTGACAAGGTAAGGGAGTAAAGGGTACGGGGGTAATGGGTAAGGGGTAAGGGGTAAGGGGTAAAGGGTAAGGGGGGTAAGGGGTAGGGGGTAAGAGGTAAGGGGTAAGGGGTAAGAGGTAAGGAGGAGAGGAGTAATAGGTAAGAGATAAGATGACCTTTCATAAGATGTCCTTATTGCACGACCAGTTACATTCATCGTGAACCACATAATTAATCCTCGTTACACGTACAAACTATTCTTCTCCTATATCATATTTATTTCTGATCACTATATGGTCATTTCATGTGTTTGAACGTCTATACTGTAAATGAAACAAATTCGTCTACTCCACAACAGCTACGTCGAAAGCTATCCGGGATCGTATTTTCTTTGTGTTATTTGATGTGAACGTGAAAGATGGAAGAAACCATCTCGCCAATAGTGATGCATATGTCAGCATAAACACACCGCACTCGTTGAAGTTGCGCTGCTTTGGAATGCCTTCCACTTGCCATATATGGTTGAAGTTCTTCGTGTCAATTGCTTGACCTTGTTCGACCGACGTCATGTACAGAAATCTTGCGAACCCCTCTGTCACCTTCGCCGCGAGTTCAACATCCGGTGTCAGCGAATCGTAGTACTCAAATTTCATACGCCTAAGGTTTGCCACTACGAGTGTCCAATGTTGGTTGTGCGCGACGTGAAAAGGTGCAATGATCAAATTCATGTCGCTAATCATGACCTCTGTGAACCAGCTGCGAACCTTTTCGTACTTGAACTTCATATCGCTATCAAATAGTTTTGCAAAAAAAAAAGAGCTTAGAACTGCTATTGTAGGAATGCGCCCCTTTCCTGTTCTAACGATGTCTTCGTTCTTCGAATCGCAATTATGGTGCGTCACACGATTCTCATTGTCCAGTCAGACAAGGTTAAGATAAAAATTAACTATCTGCTCGTTCAACCACTTTTTTTCTATCATTAGTAAACTAAAATCGTTGACTGTCATCGTTAATTCTTCTTTTGTATCTTCGTTGAATGAACTTGTTATGACGTCGCTATCCCCAAGTTTCACTCGCAATCTCGTGAGGGTCTCCATCTCTCTCTCCGTCAAATTCGTTGTTGCCAAGCGGACGGTCTATCCATTTTTGCACCTCCGGTTATCCTCCATTGTCGTTTGCGCTGCACATGACAACGCGCCATGTCTTTATGTGAGCTCATGTTTCAATACGTCCATTTCTAGTCATGTTCATTGCATTCAATTTGTTGTAGTAATCCGCAGTAACGGTTACCTTAAAAGAGCGGGGTGCATATTAGAATTAGTAGGTGCTTATTAGAACTAGTAATTTACGTAGTTGAAACCAATACACTCCATTATTTTCTTTCATGCACTTCCATCATATTCATCAACCGCATTAACTAGGAGTCACCTTCAACGAGCGAGTTTTGAAAAAAACCCTTTACCAATGACATCTCTTCATTATATTCATCGACCTCATTACCAGTGTTTTATGACAATATGCACGTGTATTTCTGACATTCCTCGCTATTAATCACACTTTCGTTAGATTCATCGATCGATAAGGAGAGAGAGAGAGAGAGAGAGAGAGAGAGAGAGAGAGAGAGAGAGAGAGAGAGAGATGTATCATGATTGACACTGTTATCTGATGTCCTCTCCAATTCACTGCGGAATCAATAATTATATCACACGTCTTCCGCCGAAAATATTTATCTGAGTTGCGTACAAACACTCACACACATACACAGAGTGTCACGCCAACCCGAACTCAACCTCTGCATATATCTACACATTAATCGGATGTTTATTCTTTATTTCTCTTGTCGATCATCTCGCAGGTTGACCTCCGTCATCCATTACCTTTTGTTCATCGACATTGTCCCTTGCATCCTCATTGTCATCGCACCCCTCTACATGCACGTCTACCCCTTCATCGCTTAACGATATACAATTAATCACCGTCTGGGACGTGGTTGATCCCTCAAGCTTTCTCTTCCCGTCCTTCTCTGCCCCATCCAGCAGTTTCATCATCTCATCGAAATCTTTTTGCACCTCACTCGCGCGTTCTGCATACCCACCTTGTTGCATTTCATATGAAACCGCCATGTTCGTGGAAGGAGTGGGGTTCTCCATCTGCGATACACTCTTGTTTTTCACCTGAGTTATTAGAGGAGGCCCGTACGATGCGATGTTCGAAGGATCTTTGTCGACATTCCGTGTTCCCTTGTCCACCCCCATTATCTTGACATTGGTTTGACTCATCGCTTCTCCAACACTGGCAGCCAAGTGCGTCGTCGACTGCCCCCCAAGCTGTGAGCATCCCAACCAACTGGATTGTCTCAATGCCTTGGCACGCAGGATGAAGTTCGATCTTCCAGTCGATGGTCTTGTATGACCGGCTTGACGGCAAGTCATAGAACATGTGTTTATATTCCAGCTGATTGTTGGAGTGCAGAGAATCGAATATCAATTGAGCCTTCTCCTCAATAGCTGCCTCGTCCGCTCCGTCGTTTTCGCACCTGACACGGAAGACAATTTCGCTCTTCGTCACTTTCAGCCACAGTACTACTGCTAGTCTCGGTTTGACTTTCCATCCTAATGCTAGATGCAGTGTCATCATCCACTCCCCCTTGAAAATGCATGGCTCGAATACGTCTGTATGCCACAAAATGTGATACCCCCACTTCTCAGACGTCGTTTCTGGCACCTTGTCTTCAATGAAGTACGACCGTTCGCTGGCCTGCACAATGCGATCGGGAATATCATCACCGGGCATCAGCCTCGGAAGGGCATCAGGAACCGCCAAGTCATCCTCATCGGCGTCTGCCAGGATGTTGTGTTATGTGTTTCCTTGAAAAGTGCGAGGTCTCCCCTGGAACCCGTGACAATTGCCATGAATCAATGCATTCTCAAGTCCTCTGAGGGGCGTAGGCGAATCCGTTTGCATCTGTGAAACGGAACTTTCCCTGTCGGTCACGTCACGCGTCGGACTGCTCGCACCTCCCGATTTCGTGCGACCTTCTTCTGGATTCTCGTTCGGCACGCTGCATGTCGGCACACTTTGCATTCCCTCTCGCAAACGTTTCACTCGCTCTTCGATTTCGAGGTCCGATGTTTCGGTCTCCTCGTCGCTCTCGATCCGATTCCATGCATCAGTTGTTTTGACAATGTTGCTGTACTCTTCGTACGTCAGCATTGACTGATTTGCTGTGAACTTCATTTGTTCACATCTCGCCACGAACATCGCAAACGCACCCACTTGCGCTTTATGGTAGCCACCATATACTTCTTGTGCCATCGCTTTGCGAACTATGTAGTCATGCTCGAATGGCGACTTGGGTTGGCCTTGGAATAGATATTCCCACATCTTGTTTCTCTTCTTACTCAGCTTGTGGTACATGTCCCTGTCCGGACGGTGCGCAGTCTTCTGTTTCTGAACCGTGCAATCGTTTCTCACGTCCTTCCCAAGAATTTCGATGGTCTTCGTCAAGTACGAAATGTCTTTGGGCGATGAGTCGCATGCGAAAACATGATAGCCAACGCGCAGAAGCTCTCACACAAGTCCTGCATGCGGCTTCCCGATAAGAATCACCCCCTGATCCTCATGCAGAAATGAACTACACAACTTCTGCAACCGTTAGGGATGTCGTTCCTACCGCCCATACACCTCTCGTTCATTTTCTTCCTCGCCGTCGTGCCTCGCTGTGCACCTCTTGAAGTGCTCCTCCTCAACGTTTAGCTCCACTATCCCCGCCTCCGATTTAGGGGCCCTCGTGACCTTCGTGAGGTCGCCGCCCTCGGCATGCAGGACGATCGCCATCGTGTTCTTATAATCGACTTGTCAGTTTCCGTACTTGCTGACAGCCGTCCTGACCCCAATATAACGCTTCCAAGTCCCGGGTATCACCTCTACATCGTCCCAGTTGTAAAGCGACTTCATGATGATCTTATGTTGTTTTTGCGGGGCAAAAACAATAAAAACCCAATTATTATCGCACAATTTCGTCATCGTTTTGTGCAAAGCATCGAAATCAGCTGGCGATCATGCAAGGCACTCCTTCGGGTTGGCGAGATCGAGGATAGCCGCCTTGCAATTCAAGTTCGTGGGTGCAGTCACAATTTCGTCAGCCGCGGGCAGCAACTCCGTGGGGTGCATGTTGACCGGTAGCAATGTCGACCGTTGTTGTTTCTTTTTCCAACTCAGATTAAGCGCAGCGTTCTTCAACCGTCGCAACTCAACTGTCAGCAATTCCACTCTTCCAATTGCATGGTATACGAAGTACTTAAAGTGGAAAGGCGCGTCCCTATACAATGCCTCCGTGGCCTTCAGACCAGTTCCTTTCAGACCTTTTTCCTCTTGCTCTCCGCCGAGTCTTCTTGGAACCCTCCGGACGTATTCCAAAGAGATCATATCCCTTTTCTCATCCCATTCGACTGCCCTCACACCAAACCTTTGCTCCACTTTTTCATAGTCGAAGAAGTTCCCGTCCTTCCATTCTCTCGCCTCTCTGTTCTCCGATTTGAAGACGATGTAGTTGAACAGACGCATCATGTATCTCCCGCGCATAATGATGTCGAGGAGGCTGGTCATGTTCAACTTCCCAAGAGGAACCAGTCTAGTAGTGGCGATGACTTTCTTATTTATCATCAACCGCAATGCAATTTCCTTCTCTCATGCCGTCATGTCTCCAAAACATTTGAAGTTTTACGGAACGAGATCTTTGAAGGACACCGTAGCGTTTGGTCCCCCGTCCCTAGCCGGTATGCAATGGAACACCTCCTTCTTCCCTTGCACCTCTTCAGTGAATTGACCCAGCACCCGGCCTTCCTGCTTCCCGGGCAAGTCCTTTGGGCATTTGTTGTCGTATAGCGGCAACTCCCCCACCTCGAACTTCAGAAAAAACTCCTTTACCAATGTCCATATCCTGTCCCTGCATGTGGCGACATTCATGTATCCCCTCATTCTGTTCGTCCAGTCCTGTTGCCACTTCGGAGCCAAACACTCGGTCCACAATGATTTCTCACATGACTTCCCCATGCACGCCCTCAAAAATTTCCTCCACTCTTCCTGATGCGTCAAACAGGCGGGATCCCCTTTGGACACGTTCCCCACAGGGCCGATCCATTTCTTGGAGTCTCAAAATCCTCTGATGTCCTCGCAGGCTTGGTGGAACGACGACAATATAGCACGGTCAACTCTCGTATTGTCGTATATCGAAACATACGCGTACCCGTTCGTATGGTCGTCGCCGAAATAAATGATCCGCACACGATCATAATTCCGAAAATCGAACACCTCCACTGCTGCAGAATTATTCGCCACTGCTCTTTTCATAGCTTCGAAAATATGTTGACCGGCAACCGGGTAATAGAAATACTCATCTTCCCTATCGGGATCGAAGTCCTGTGGAAGGACGCATATCCCTTGGCTGTTCTCGTCCATTGATGGTGTAATCGGAGCCAGCACCAACTCCGGTGGATCCCACGGAGCTGGATCATCCTCGGACCTTGGACGAGTTGATGCATCGATTGCCGCTTCGATGCCTGCAACGATGGCCGGGTTCAGCGATCGCTGGTTGAAGGCGATATCTCCCACCGGAATTGGAAGAATCTGCACGACGTCAATGACCACTCTCGACGGGTCTCTTCTCTTTTTGCTGTCGTCGTCGTACTCGAGGAAGAAGCACTGCGTCATATTGACCACGCTTGGTTTCTTCGTCTCCTGTTCGTCGTCGTCAGGGAGGGAGAGCAAGCGAGGGGCCACCCCTTCAGCATCGTCGGTGGAGTTGTCCGATTTCTGGCGCCTTGATGGCCGCACGGGCTTCCTGGGTTGTGACGTTTTGCGAACCCGAGCACTTGATTTGCATTTCACATCGGCTTCACCAAGCGTCCCTCGAGATGCATCCAAGGCGACCCGAGCTTCGTCCACAGCTTTCCTTCGAGCCTGCTTCTTGGGCGCAGCTGGCGTCGACGACGACTGCGCTGTGCGTTTTCCCTTCCCCTTGGAAGGTAGCCCCGCGGAAACACCGGCATCTCCTTCTTCATCTTCCAATTCCTCGTCTTCCATTTCCGAACCACTGACACTGCCACCGCCCACCCCACCGCTCACCGCAACCTTTTTCCACTCCTTATGGTCAACCGCTTCTCGAACGTGTTCTCTCCGCTCGCCACTACCACACTCCCATTCATCCTCGTCGTGTTCTCCATCGTCCCTCACCCGAGCTTCGACACCTCCACCACTTTGACGCCGCTCATTCACATCGCAAGAGCCTTCGCCCTGGATGTACCCTGGCGTCGCTATCAACTGGGAACGCACTTGCCGAACCCGTGCATCATCCTCCGTCTCTTCGTCTGATTCCATGTCCATTCGACGTTGAGAGGTGTCCCTCGAGTGTGAGCTGGCACCAGCACGCGAGCTCACCGGAAGATTCGAAGGAGGTCCGACGACCACCTTCTTCTTCGGAATGTTTCCCGATGACCCACCGACCGAACGCCTCTCGTAAGTAATAATTGTCTCCTTCCCGCCGACAGGTTGTTGTAGTGTCGACACAACCTGCCGGCGATCGCTAGAGCACGCTGATAAGCCTGCGAGACTTTCGTCAGGAGCGTCGAACGGGACAATAGGTAAAGTGAGCTGGTGACCAGCGGCGACCGTCGGGAATTGACCACTTTTCCTATAACCGTTGGTCTTGCTGAGGAATTCAATAGGTAAGAGCATCCTCAACACATTCTCATCTCGCTTGCTGCCGAAGGCTTTCATAGCGAATGCCTTCTGACCATACCCCTTGAACATAGCGAGGTCGAGGCTGACCTTGTGGTCAGTTTTGACCCAGTCGGTACCTTGCTCATCGTACACCGAAGTGAGGAACAACTTCCTCAAGTCTCGCTCGTCGACCTTGGCCTTCTCCGCCGTGGCCTTGTCAATTTGAGACCTGATGATGCCACCACAACAGTACCAGGTCGCCCCTTCGTCCTCCGTCAAAAACACAGCAGCACCGCACCCGGCCTCGCCGGCCACACCGACCCAGTCGAGAGCCCACAGCTTGTCGCGATACAGTTTCAACCTGTTGTTGTACCTCTTATCCGCATCATTCGGACCCTTACGACCTCTACCTGGAGGAGATATCCATAAGAAAAAGAGGAGGTTGGTAATCAGAAGTAGAGCTTTTGTAGAACGCTAGACCCCCACCTTGCACAAGCCGGTATGCGGGGCTCCAGCATTTGTGAAACACTGGACTCCGGCCTACCAGCCGTTGCTATTGGCATTTGGCTGGCATGTTCAAACAATTGATCCCAGCCCTCGACCCAACCGGCAGGCACGGGTCCAGCGTTTAACAGACGCTGGAACCCCCCCGGCCCACGAGCCGTGCTTTTGGAGGGGTCCAGCGTTTGTCAGACGCTGGACCCTCACCAATGGCGGGGCAGGTGCGCGGAGGTCCAGCATTTCACAAACATTGGACCCACGCATGCCATCCGATCCATTGGCGGGTGTACAACGTTTGACAAACGCTGGACGCCCGTCAATGCCTCGGCCGGTAGGCGGGGGGTCCAGCGTTCGACAAATGCTGGACCCCTGCCCACGGGCCGTGCAATTGGTGGGGGTCCAGCGTTTGTCAAACGCTGGACCCTCCAAAAGCACGGTCCGTGGGCGGGGGTCCAGCGTTTGACAAACGCTGGACCCTCCCCCCCGCCTACCGACCGAGGCATTGACGGGGGTCTAGTGCTTGACAAACGCTGGATCCCTCCAAAACTACGGCTCGTGGGCGGGGCTCCAACATTCGTCAAAAGCTGGACCCCCGCCAATGCCTCGGCCTGTAGGCGGTGGGTCCACTGGACCCCCGCCCACGGGCCGTGCTTTTGGAGGGGTCCAACGTTCGTTAAACGCTGGGACCACAATAATTGCACGGCCGGTGGGCGGGGGTCCAGCGTTTGTCAAACGCTGGACCCCCGCCAATGCCTCGGCCTGTAGGCGGTGGGTCCAGCGTTTGTCAAACGCTGGACCCCCGCCCACGGACCGTGCTTTTGGAAAGACCAGCGTTTGACAAACGCTGGACCCCCACCAATGGCACGGCCCGTTCTTTTTCCATTGCGATTGCAATGGGGAGAGGGAGATCGATCCCCTCCCCAGCATTCCATCGTAGCATTACCGACGTGGCAGCACATCCTATCATCCTATGGACAATGGACCATTTATCCTATTTTTCGAAAAAAAAAAGCAACAAATACAGTGCGATTTCAATGGGGAGAGGGCGATCCATCCCCTCCCCAGCATCATATCGTGGAGTTACCGATGTGGCAGCACATCCTATCATCCTATGGACCATGGATAATTTATCCTATTTTTCGAAAAACAAAAGCAGCAAATACAGTGCGATTTAAATGGGGAGAGGGCGATCGATCCTCTCCCCAGCATCATATCGTGGCATTACCGATTGGCAGCACATCCTATCATCCTATGAACTATGAAACATTTATCCGATTTTTCGAAGAAAAAAAAATACAGCAAATACAGTGCGATTTCAATGGGGAGAGGGCAATCGATCCCCTCCCCAGCATCATATCGTGGCATTACCGGCGTGGCAGCAAATCCTATCATCCTATGGACCATGAACCATTTATCCTATTTTTCGAAAAAAAAAAGCAGCAAATATAGTGCGATTTCAATGGGGAGAGGGCGATCGATCCCCTCACCAACATCATTTCGTGGCATTACCGATTTGGCAGCTCATCCCATCATCTTACGAACTATGGTCCATTTATCCGATTTTTCGAAAAAAAAAAAGGCAGCAAATACACTGCGATTTCAATGGGGAGAGGGCGATCGATCCCCTCCCCAGCATCATATCGTGGCATTACCGATTTGGCAGCACATCCTATCATCCTATGGACTATGAAACATTTATCCGATTTTTCGGAANCGATCCCCTCCCCAGCATCATATCGTGGCATTACCGATTTGGCAGCACATCCTATCATCCTATGGACTATGAAACATTTATCCGATTTTTCGGAAAAAGAAAACAATAGCAAATACAGTGCGATTTCAATAGGTAGAGGGCGAACGATCCCCTCCCCAGCATCATATCGTGGCATTACCAACGTGACAGCACATCCTATCATCCTATAGACCATGAACCATTTATACTATTTTTCGAAAAAAAAAAAGCAGCAAATACAGTGTGATTTCAATGGGGAGAGGGCGATTAATCCCCCCCTCAGCATCATAACGTGACATTACCGATTTGGCAGCACATCCTATCATTTTACGAACTATGGACCATTTATCCGATTTTTGAAAAAAAAAGGGAGCAAATAAAGTGCGATTTCAATGGGGAGAGGGCGATTGATCTCCTCCCCAGCATCATATCGTGGCATTATCGACGTGGCAGAACATCCTATCATCCAATAGACCATGAACCATTTATCATATTTATAAATAAAAAAAAAGCAGCAAATACAGTGCGATTTCAATCGGGAGAGGACGATCGATCCCCTCCCCAGCATCATATCATGGCATTACCGATTTCGCAGCACATCCTATGATCCTGTGGACTGTGGAACATTTATCTGATTTTTCGAAAAAAAATAAAATCAAATACCGTGCGATTTCAATGGGGAGAGGGCGATCGATCCCCTCCCCAGCATTATATCGTGGCATTACCGACGTGGCCGCACATCCTATCATCCTATGGACCATGAACCATTTATCCTATTTTTCGAAAAAAAAAAAGGAACAAATACTGTGCGATTTCAATGGGGAGAGGACGATCGATCCCCTCCCCAGCATCATATGGTGACATTACCGATGTGGGAGCACATCGTATCATTCTATGGACCATGGATCATTTATCATATTTAAAAAAAAAAAAAACCCACTAAATACAGTGCGATTTCAATGGGGAGAGGGCGATCGATCTCCTCGCCAGCATCATATCGTCGCATTACCGATTTGGCAGCACATCCTATCATCTTACGAACTATGAACCATTTATACAATTTTTCGAAAAAAAAAACCCCAGCAAATACAGTGCGATTTCAATGGGGAGAGGGCGATCGATCCCCTCCCTAACATCATATCGTGCCATTATCGACGTGGCAGCACATCCTATCA